AAAAACAGTTTTTAGTACATCAAGAAAAATTAGATTTGTCAATAAACAATTACTACCAAATTTCCCAAACGGAAGAACATTAAAGGAAAGTGAAAAGTGTTATACAGCATAATCATCTTTTATGGGGATTCTCGTACTAAATAGTGCACTGTTAATGAATATAAAACAAAAAGGGAAAGTTCATTCAAACACTGAAATGCACTCGGTAAACTCAGATAATTGTTATCCCTTCTCCAGGGATGGATTATTCCAAATTGTCGTAAAACTTTATTCGGGGGGTCAATTTTTAACCGGATAATTTTTTTTTGTCGAGAATTAATTCGAGAGTAATTTTTTTAATGACAAAAAGTTCTAAGATGAATTAAAAAAATTATTAGGTTAAATATTAAGATTTCCCCCAAGTAAAAATGATTATTTTTTATTTTTGGTTGTTTCACTGTCTAGAATGGGGTTTTTGGGAAGCCACCAGGTCTGGTAATAACATTACATAAGTGGTTCTGCACTAATGCAAGAACTTCAAGAAATCATACATTTTGAATATTAGAGCTTGGAGGTTAGGATTTCGTATGTTTTTTTAAATCCCTTTGTATATTTGAAATAAGTTATTGTTCTTTTGACCTTAATATTTTTTAAAAATACAATTGTACATACATAAAATATTTATAAAAAAAATCTACTTACTGAGATATTACACTTCAAAGTGGATAGGTTTTTAAATAGAAAAAAAAAACTTAAACTTTTGAATTATAAAACAGCAACACTCTCATCTGCATATAAATTCTAACTGACCTTCAGGAATCACATGCATCTATAATGTCGTAAACAGAGGTTTTTGCTTATTTAAAATGATTAAAGCGCCATCTGTTGCATAACATTTAAAACAAAAACATATTCACGGAGGATAGAATCAATTTTTTAACACCTACATAAATGGTTATAAAAATTATTTCTTTTAATTTTTAATAATATTTTATATTTGATTCGATTGCTTTGGATGTGTTTACTTAGTGAACTGATATTTTTAGTATGATTTTACTACCTCAGATATTTGAAAACATATAGGTTAACCTAGGAAGAGTAACAGTCACGGAGGATAGGTTTTAGACTTTTAAAACATAGTAAAAAATAATTAATTGCGGTTTTAAATCTGGAACCTGAGCTGTAATATCTACTTAATTATGAAAGATCAAAACACAATAAAAGTGTAGGTAAATACATTTAGTTTTATTAAATATCACGGGGTAACACCATCGGGGGACATTTCCTGAAGTTCACCCATACCTATATGTATAAATAAAATAAAGAAAGAATAAAATTAAGAAAAAAACATATTTTTACAAACAAAATTTAGTATTTACTAAAATAAATAAGAAAGAAATTCACATATTCATTGTATTAACATGAAAAACACAATTGTTATAAATAGTTGTTACTCTTGTATTCTGAAATTTGATTATTTATTTGTGTGGTTACCGGAGATTAAAAAAGTTACCTAGTAACATACCAACAGGGCTTTTATCATAAGGAATATCATAAGGGCACCTAATTTTTTCGAAAAAAATCGAAAAAACACGTTGCTAAGTAATATTTTAACAAGAATCATGACGAGGATTTTTGCACCTGCACGAATGCATTTTGTTAAAAAATATTACTTAGCATTGTGTTTTTGCGATTTTTTTCACAGGAAAAATTAGATGCCGAATGGTATTTGACAAGACTCTACTATTATACTACCTATTATACATGCATACATAATGAAAGGTATTAATTTGAAAACTGAAAAATTGGTAATTTATTTAATCACAAAATACTACAAACTTAATCATTTATGGTACAATTAAAATATAAATTGCGATTTTTGGTGACAACAGCTGTCAAGTTTTGGCTGCTGACAGGTGCTGTCATACCTAGAAACCATTTGTAATTCAAAATTGAGCGTTTGTGATTGGTGGAAATTAAGACGAGGGAAATAGTCACCTAAATAAAAGTAGTTTTAAAAGAAATTCGATTAGTCCATAAAGTAATGAGTGGAATAGTCGTATATAATACCACTAGTAAAATTTTGCAGATAAAATTTTTGATTTTTTTAAGAATGTTTTTTTCTTCCAAGGAAAAATCTTGAGTAAATAAAGATCAAAAATTTTTTTCAGGGAAAATTTTATCACGGCCGCTAGGCGAGCGGTTTTAAATTAATGCCACTAGCAAATTTCCAAGAAAAAATCTTGAGTAAAAAAAATCAAACATTTTTTCACCTAAATAGTAGTTTTTCGTAAGTAATATCGTAAGGGCATCTAATTTTTCCGAAAAAAATCGAAAAAACACGTTGCTAAGTAATATTTAACAAGAAGCATGAGTGCTGGTGGCAACAAAAATACGAGTCGAAGACGAGGATTTTTGCACCTGCAAGAATGCATTTTGTTAAAAAATATTACTTAGCATTGTGTTTTTTCGATTTTTTTCACAGGAAAAATTATATGCCCGAATGGTATTTGACAAGACTATTTCATAAGTAACAATTAAAATATAAATTGCAATTTTTGGTGACAACAGCTGTCAAGTTTTGGCGCGGGTAAACTCGAAAAAACTGCTGACAGGTGCTGTCACACAGTTTTTTCACCTAGAAACCATTTGTAATTCAAAATTGCGCGTTTGCGATTGGTGGAAATTAAGACAAGGGAAATATTTGCTGCAAAACTGAAAAAACCACTAGTTTTTTGAAATCTGATTGGTCCATAAAGTAATGAGTGTAATAGTCGATTTTATCTACCTCTTATGATGCATTTTTATCACTTTTAAAGAATCTTATGGGTCGAAATTTCTGCAATCCGACGATTTGATTGGTTAAAACTTTTTACACTTTACGATCCATAAATCCGTAAATACTGCACATGAAGAACAATAGCTATTTACATACCATGGGAGGAAAATAGTGCTTTTCCTCCCGCGAATAGTTTGATGCCCGACGCGAAGCGAATAGTTTTTTCAATTACCTTTTAACGGTTTTAAGACATTTTAAGCGTTCCGGTTCCTTTTACTAACCCGGTATGGGACTATAAAATTATGACAAAATATTAAGTAGGTGTTGACAACGCTTTGTTGCTATGGTATTTTTTTAATACAAACATAACAGTTGTTATAAGCTGTCAGAATGTTTATAATAAATTTGAAATTCTTCCTAGGTTTTAAAAATGAGTTCTAGCGAAAAAGACCTGCCGCAAGATCTTGCTGAAGAGGCAAGAATAGCAATTAATTTCCTTTCTTAAAAATCGAAAGAGCGATATGAAAATAAATATAGATTGTTCAAAGAATAATTGGACAAGCGCGGAGTAAATCTTTTTTCTACAAAATCAAATAGGGCTAGACAAGGTACAAAAACTCTTGCTAATGTAAAATTGTTAAAAAAAAGAGGGAGGAAATTTTTTTCCTCCCGGGGAGGAAAAGAGGCATTTTCCTCCCTCGCTCGGGGGTGGAAAATTAGGTTTTCCAGTAAGGTAGTAGAAAAAATAGTATTTATCTATTTTGCGTTCATAATTATAATGACTTCATTATTATTATTATATTTATTATTTCGGTGCTTTAATGAGATACTTTATCCCACCCAAAATTTTGATTTTATAGGTTGGCTATATTTTAAACAGCATAATATTTTGCATATTGGTTATAAAATTTTTATGATTTTTCTAGTACTTACGAGACTTTTCTGGCAATAAATTTTGTTTAACACCAAAGAAAATCTTTTTTTTTCTTCTTTAACATTAACAGCCGCTTATTGTAATTAAGTAAATTAATGACGGCATGGCGAATCGAATTTGACATTAACTGTCAAACCAATGACTGTGATACGAACTATCTAAAGTAAAATTCGTCTAAATTAAATTTAAGGTATAAAATTAATTTTTTTATAGAATTTTTGCAAAATAGATAAAATAGCATAAAGAACTCATGTCATAAGACCTTTTGTCACACTCGTCCATTACAAAATTCGCTCCTTCGTCGCTCGTTTTATAAATTGTCTGCGTGCGACAAAATGACGTCTTATGACATTAGTTCTTTTTTTTACACCCACCTTTAAAACGCCCTTTATCGTACATGTTTCCATGACACTAAGTGACCTTTTAAATACACATTGACAAGTTGTGGCTTTACGGCGCTTTAGTCACGGGCTGAAGTTAGCAACAGGTTTTTAGTCACGGGCTGAAGTTAGTTTTAAGATAGTTGACAGTTGTCAAATGTCATACAATCGTTAAAATAAAGTGCCTTTCTTGTAAAATAATACTAAATGTGAAAATTATTTTATTATCTCAATACAAAAATACAAAAATATTAAATAGTTTCTCAACGCCAATATTTGAAAAGTTTATATGAACATTGTACTGACCTTTTAGTTTCGCCGGCAGTAAACTATAACTTAAATTCGGGCACGGACTCCACTGTAAAGTCCTCATAAAACATTTCCTTTACTTTCACTGTGAAAAACTGTCAATTTTCAAGATACATTTCGATTTATAACCTTTATAATTGAGTTTATAAAATGTAAAAATGTGACATTTGACAGTTTCCCCTTTTGTTTCATAGATGGCGCTCTATACAAATTTTTGATTTAAATCGTTTTAAGATAATAATAAGTATTTGTCGTAGAAAAAGTATAGTATGCACCTCGTTTATAACTTTTCTATACACTCATTAACTTAAGCACTCGCTCGCAAGCTCGCTCGTGCCTAAATTAAATTCGTGTATAAAATGGCGTTTATCAAACTTGATACATAATATACTATAATATACTATTTTATTTTGGCCACGTTTTTGTCAAAAAACTATCCTATGAAAAAACTTATACAACTTTTAAGAAAACAACGGAAAGAACAGCGTCTTTGGATGGTGCTTGATCGCCATGTGAAAAACTCGCGAATGTTTATTAAGCAAAGCCAACCCTGTCGCTTTTCCAAGAGAGCAAACGAACAGAAATAAACATTAACAGGAGCGAGCATTAGGCCGTCGGCGTTCAATCAACGAAGTGTTGGAAAAATGAGGTGCGTTAAAACAAGTGCAATTGTTTATGTATATAGAAGAAAAAATAATGGTAAATAGCTTTCAGTTGCAGACGTTGCTTTTATGGATAGTAGGCGGCCGTGCATGCTTCGCGTTCACTGCGTATCTAGACGGAAAAAATTCACAAAGTGATTATTTGTATGGGTACAAGCCTGATGTTCATTTGCAAGAGCCAATTCTTCAAAATGAAGGGTACTTTTATCCAGGTGAGACAGACAGTTAAATTTTATCAAAGACATTTTTTCTGTATGATAGTTACACATGGAAACTGTATATTTAACTTATTATATTACAAAAGATTGCTAATTAATATTATTATAATAATATTAAATAGTCAGTAATTAATTTTTTCTACTCCCATGGGTGCACCTTTAAAACGCGTACATGTTTCCATGACACTAAGTGACCTTTTAAATACACATTGATAAGTTGTGGCTTTATGGCGCTTTAGTCACGGGCTAAAGTTAGTTTTAAGTTAGTTGACAGTTGTCAAATGTCATACAATCGTTAAAATAAAGTGCATTTCTTGTAAAATAATACTAAATGTGAAAATTATTTTATTACCTCAATACAAAAATACAAAAGTATTAAATAGTTTCTCAACGCCAATATTTGAAAAGTTTATATGAACATTGTACTGACCTTTTAATTTCGCCGGCAGTAAACTATAACTTTAATTCGGGCACGGACTCTACTGTTAAGTCCTCATAAAACATTTCCTTTACTTTCACTGTGAAAAACTGTCAATTTTCAAGATACATTTCGATTTAAAAAACTGAAAAAACTGGTAATGACCGAAATGCGTTTTAAAATGTTTGGTTGGTACCCATCTACCTACGCAGTGCATGTCCGGAGATACCGCGTTGTGGAAGTGTGGCATTTTTGTTCAGTTAGATTATAATTACGGTGAATCCATAAGGGGACATTCTTATTTTTGGTAAGTATTATACTTCCTTTTTCTTTAAGCCTTAATACTCAATAAATACCAATATTTTAAAAGGATGTCCATACCCGACCTATATTATATATCAATAATTTACGGCAGTAGGTCGGGTACTTGTAACAATAATAATATAAATACATACACACTTGATTTACTTTTTATTTTCAAGCGTTATGGTTGTTATATTAACCTATACCTACATTTTTATTAATATTATGAAAAATTTGTACACGTGTGGTAAATCCCCGACATACAGCCGCCTGACGCCTCTCTACCAATGGGATCACCCATTTTTTATAACATAAAAATGGATTACTGATGAATTCTCAAGATAATTCATTGCTTATACAAGTTGACAGCCAGTAAAACATTGCATTGATCTAAAACTTTTACGTTTTAAGGAACCATTTTGCTTAAGCCAGCCATACGACTGAAATATAAAATTATATTTTAAAAGGCACCGATTTTTATAATTGTCATAGATTTTTGTTCCAAATAAATGTTTCTCTTTATTTACCTTTTCGTTTTATTCACTACCTCCAATAGGTTTCACTCAAATAATAGTGTTAATTTACGCTAGAAGTTTGCACTAAAAGAGTAAAAGTACCTTTACACTGAACAAAATTGGGATTTTACCCAGGAAGTGTAGAAGTACAGGATTTTAGGTAAATTAACACTTTTTAATGCAGTGTAAAATAACTTTATCCTCATGCTATAGTTTTAAATCATATTTGCTTACTTGGGGAAAATTACACTTAGTGTTTATGCGTATTCTAAATGGGAAATGTTTTGATTGACTGCCTGAAATCACGATTTTTTTTTTTTAAGAAATAATTTGCTAAGCATTAACAAAATAATCTGTAACCTTTAAAATTAACAAAACGCTTATAACAGTGTAATCGCCCAAAACGTTCTGAATGCGAATTGTGTAATGTTTCAGATAATCTGCCGCAAAACATGGTTGCCGGATCCGGGGCCTTAAAACATCAGACAGTCGTTGAACTGAATCCGCTAATAGCCGCATTGCTCCTCGGCACAAGTTTGGCTCTTCCGCAGAAATCCTTCGCCTCGAATCATCCAGGACTGCCGCCCGTAAATCCTTACGTCGCTTTAATTTTATCCAACTACGGCAGATACTTGCCGCTGCCGAAAACAACGCGCGGTATATATGCCTACGCGGCAGCTAATTCTTATCACAATTATCAACCTGGAGGAACCTACAAAGTAACTGAAGAAAAATAGTCATTTGTACGTTTTAGGGTCATTTTCAAGAAACACCCGCTTTCAGGAAAATGAAGATCAAAATTTTTTTTTGCTTAAATTGACTTTTGGTTGGATTTTTATAAATGTTTAGAGTTTTGTTTACTTACCTTTAAGACAGGCAGTGCACTTTTTAATTTTTTTACGTTTTTTTCAGAAAAATGTGTTTAGCTAGCTTTATATATCTCCATTACCAATTTGAAATCCAAAATTTAATTCAATAAAAAAAGTTGTTATGAAAATAATTTGAAATAAAATGTACTTAGTAGAATGTAATGTAGAAATAGACATTGGTATCAGAACGGACTGGGGTACACAAAGGACTTAATCAGATAACGTAAACAAGAAACTATATAGGGTGGTACGATTTTAGAGTAATGCATAACAGAATCCCTTGTAGTGGTGTTCTTAGATTTTTAAATTATAGACACCCATTTTCTTTGACCATAAATAAGCTGGTGTCTTTTAGTACTGGTATATTGCGTGGAATTTTTCCTTGGAAGTAATCTATATCATGAGTTGTAATCACAAATAATTTTAAATTGGTTTATCATAAACTACTTTTAATAAAAGCCACGGTAAATATCCACTTTTTTGTCGAAAAATTCTATTGCGTTACCCTAAATTCCATTGCGTTACCATAAGGTAACGTAATGGACTCGGTAACGCAGTGGACAAAGTTTTGTGAAACCATATTTAAAAAATAATAATAAAACATTACAGTCATCAATTACTCTCAATGAGCTTTAGTTTCCTAAAATAAACATAAACATGAAAAATAGTATTTTTTCTTACCTTATTTTTATTATTTGTTTGAGTAACTTAGCGGACAAACAATTATTACATTCGCGTTACCCGCACCTGTTTCAACCGATATCTTCTTCCTGATTGAATAAATAGATTCAGCTGGGTAATGTGTACGTCCGAACATCATTTGTTCATCACGTGAGTGCCAAAAAAGTTGCCATATATATGTTTTTTTAAATATTCTATCGGTAACGCGACACACGTAACGCAACGAAAAAAATTTAAAAAAAGTAGATTAAAATTAATTAATTTATATATAAATTGTTTACTTTATTAACTAAGGATGTTATGGATTGCTATAAAGCAACACAAAGTTCTGGTTATTCAATATTTAAAAAAGAGTTTACTATGGGCTTGTTAGGCTTTCACTTGGTTTTTAAATCAATAAGATCAGATAATTTTTAACAAAGTTATTGGAATTCAAACTTACGGACAGCGGAAGGCGGGTGTTTTTTGAAAACGACCCTTGTATTAAAAAGGTGCACCTTTTTAATAGTAGATGAAAGTCGCCTATTATGGGGTACCATTTTAATTTTTATAATTATTTTTTTTATTTAGTTTTTGTTTATTTTTCAGTTTGGCAACGTTGGTTCTTTAATATGCAAGCAAGATAATACTAAATAAAAAAATCCTTAAAACATTATAATTTTTGTGTAAAAAAATAATTTATAAATTCTACCAGGTAGCCTATTATGAAGTCCTGGTATAACCTACCTGAAAAAAATATTTGGTGCAATTGTAACGTACAAATAAAATAAGGAATAATAATAGTTATTTATGTATCAAGGCAGTAAAGTCGTATTTTTTATCAATAATGTGGAAATTATTTGCCGAGGCGAAAGCCGAGGCAAATAACCACGTGAGTGATAAAAATGACTTTAATGCGGAGGTGCATATTAAATTTTATCCGAAATCACATTTAATATTACTTGTAATTATTATCAAATCAAATGTCATTTGATGATAAAATCAAATGTCATTTGAATGTAGGTGTCTACGTATACTGTTTGTTGCGACGGTTATGATATATTTGCCCGCCGCGGCGATTTTTTAATGTAATTAATAGTAGGCACATCTTAAAATGTATAATGGGTTGCATACAATACTCGTATTAAATCGGCAGTGAAGTTCTACTTTACTACCGATTTCTTTTACTTTACTGCCGATTGTTGACTACCTTACTGCCGATTTCGGATAAAAGGTATTTAACTTTAAAATTTTATTGATATAAAAGACATAGTTATAAATAAGTTGTAAAAAACTGAATATGATGTCTAGATTCACATTAAAACCTTGTATAATATATTTTTTTTTAAACAAATAAAATTAAAATATATTATGAGTTATAATTTATAACCTAAACAACCCAAGTAGCATCGCACGTCATATTGAAGTCATATTGAAGTCATAGACTAATAGTAGGATTGTTAATTTTTATTTTGTGCATATAGGTTTTTGCTACTTTTTTTATTTAAACAAAAATATTTCATTGTTTATAAATAATGAAATATTTTTGTTTAAATAATTTCCTCTAAATATAAAAAATAAAAATTGCTGGGTTTACAGTAGTTTTGGCACATAACTTTTCTGTTATAACAAATTATCAAGAGGATTATTATTGCTTTAAGACAAAACTATAAATTAAATGTACATGTAGTGCACAATTTCTATGTGAACGCATTAATATGATGTTTTAATGCAATTAAATAACATTATTGCTGTCTGCTTCTCCCTATTATTGTGCTGTCTGTATCAGATACCCAGTTGCAGATATCTTCACAATCCACACACAGTCTCCAGCAGTGGCGGCTCGTCAGGGTAGACATCAACCTCAAAATGATGGAACGAACGACCTTTGTATTTAACTTTTTACTACAGTTCTACAAAATAAAAAGTAAAAAAATCGATCAATCATACCTATAATAATAATAAGCATAAATGGTAAATTAAAATCCAAACTTAAACCATCAGAGAAGTCGCTGATGATGTTGGTATATCGATTGGCTCATCCCATGAAATTTTTTCAAATGTTTTGGGTATGAAACGCGTGGCAGCAAAATTTGTTCTAAAATTGTTAAATTTTGAACAAATTTTTGGCCAAAAAGAATACTGTAATGATGCCCCAGCCTCCATATTCGCCAGACATGCCTCTGTCTGACTTTTTCCTATTCCCAAAAATAAAGAGAACCTTAAAGGGCCGTCGTTTTGCAAGCATAGATGACATTAAAAGCGCATCGCTGAAAGAACTAAAGGCTATCCCAAAGATCGAGTTTTAGAAGTGTTTCGAGTATTGGAAGAAGAGCTGGCACATGTGCATAATATCCAATGGGGACTATTTTAAAGGCGACAATATTAATGTAGACGAATAAATAAATATTTGTTTCAACAAACGAAAATTCCCGATATTTTCTGAACACACCTCGTATATCAGGCGAGTTCGCTTCTATTTGTCGCTGCTTAAGGCGAGAGAATTGGAGCTTGGGATTGCTCTAATTGGTAGTTTTATATCACATGACTGAAGATGTGGTGGGTGGCAGTTTGTGTTGCAGTGTGTGTAGAGCGGGTGTTTTTGATTAGATTCGGATTAAAGTATTTGAAACTGTTGTCTGATCTTTTATAATTTTTTTGTCGATTAGAAAAACTTATTATTTTATAATTGTGGTGCACGGGGGTACATACCCGCTACACAGGTAGGATTAGCAGTTTTTATTAGGCAACAAGTCGTATTGAGTTTCAATTAAGGTTAGGTTTTCAAAATACCGGTAAGTTTTCTTTAGTTAAATATTTCCGTTTTTTTAATGAATCCTGTTTACGACATTATTGTTTCAATTTTAAAAAACGCATTTTTATTATTTTCTTAAGGTCTTAATGTCATGAACAGAATTCATTAAAAAAAATTTGAAAACCTAACCTTAATTGAAAAAAAATCCGAAATTGAAAAAAGACAGATATTGGGCAGTCGTCCAACGCCAGGGTAAGCAATATTCACGAACTTTTTAAATATCTTGGTACCAAACCTATAAGTGGCTATGCGGAAGTATTTATTAACAAAGCTTATTCTGTTGGCATTGTATTTTATTAGGCCGCATCAAAAACAATTGGAGTTCAGGGGGTATTCCGATTGCACTGATATTTTATTTGTTTAATATATACAGTGTGACCCATTTAAGATGGAAACACCCCTGTAACTTTTGTATTTGTAACTCGATTTTAATGACTAAAAGCTCAAAAGATAGAGAATAAAAAACTATATCTAAGCTATAAAAATATTTTTTATGTCACTTGACAGATGCCTACTAAACATTTTTTCTATGTCAAAATTTGGAAAAAGTTATTAGGGTCGTTTTTTCGAAAGAAATATATACTTATAAGTACGCCACTGAATGCAGCATGCTTCAAATGGGTACAAACTAAATTTTATTAAAAACGAACAATTAATAACTATTTTAAACAAGTTTTTTTTTTAATATTTATAACGAAATATAAAACACATTTAGGAGGTTTACGAGAAAAGTACGCCACTGAACGCGTCATACTTCAGAATGGGTAAAAACTTAATTTAATCAAAAAACTATTTCAGTTTATTTTACCAAGTTATAAACATAAATTTTTGGCATGGCTATCTTAGTTTTTTGTTTTATATCAAAATAAATAAAAAATAATTTATTTTTACATAGAATAACAAAATAATGAATGAACTAACTTAATTTTTACAATTTTTAAATAACCTTAAAATGAATTTTACCTATAGGTAATATTTCGTCGTTGATACTGCAAAGGGTCACTTTGACGCCTTTCTGCACAAGGGAACCAACCCACAAAAAATAGAGATAATGGGGTAGTTAAATTTTTTTTGACCTATACTTTTTATGGTTTTATTCAAGGCGTTTTATAATTTTAAACATTTCTGTGAAATCGGAATTTCAATTGAGTTTACCGTTTTCGAGATATTTACAAAAAAAAATCTCCTAATTACGTCACTAGGCTATTGACAACGTTGCCAGCTTTTTCTATGGTTGCCAGTGTGTTTAGTTTAAGATTCTCACGATAGATGGCGCCACGTTATAATATTTTAGTTTTAAAACCACTTGATCTATAATTTTAGTTGAGAAGAAGAGGAAGAATTTATTGACGTTTCTTTTTTCCGGGTTATGTTTTTTTTAAATTTAGATTAT